GGTACCAAACCGGTTTTGACCCGCAGCCAAATCCCTGTTCATTTTCCAACGGCGCCGTCACGAGCCCTCCAGTTCCAAAGGTCACGCACGCAGGTCCCCGAGCCGAATTTTAGTTCGTGCTCGGCGGCTTGCCGAACCAAAGGCCTGCCCAGAAGGGGATTCGATCTGGACCCTTCAAAGTTGATCCATGGGAGTTACCCTATGGCTATGATCCAGAACCTTGCCAAGTGGGTTGAATTGCTTGGTCAAAGCTCCAAAAGAGTGACCTTCCACCTTTGGGCAGACGCAAGCGCACGTGTTTCGACAGCTAGCTACGCATCTTGCACGGAGTGAGTTGCGGAGAAAAGCCTCGTTGTTGCAGGTTCCATTTGAGTGTTTTATTCAGGGTACTCTTTCACCCTGGTTTGAAGTGAAGCCAATGAAGCCAAAAGGAAAATCAACCTTTGCTTGGGTTCCTGTATTCTGACACACACACACACACGCACAGAAACTTAGACTCGCGAGGGAGGTTGCGTCGGGTGTCAACTGAGCAAATGTCACATCGAATATGACCAAACAAGATGGTTTCCCACTACTTACTTGGAAAGGCGGGGGGGGGGGACCAAAAGGACCTTGTGTCACTGCAGGTGCACCACACACTGGGATCGCAGTTGAGCGCGATCATGGGACCTGGATCGAGCCCGGCAAGTGATGTCAATCAGCAGAGGGCCAAAGCGCCACAGGCCAGTCAAAGTGGACTCATGGAGTATGTCATGTCCAGACTTGCTGAGAAGGGCATGTTGCCTCTTTGGGCCGGGTAGTGTCGTCCATCTGAAAGTCGTCCCCGGCGAGATCTTGCAGCAACTCATGAGCATCATTGGAAAGAATGGTCGCGTCAGAGTCGGCGCCCCTGCTCTGCCAGTCTTGTCGAGGCCCCTTGTGGGCAAATGCCGACTCAGGTTTACGAAGGGTTCGCACTCCCCACACAGTCTCTGATCTGAGAAAGGATCAGGCCCATGGCCTTCAGAAAGTCTTTGCAGGCATGGGTGAGGGCGCCAAAGTCGATGAGGGCGCTCAATTCAGTTGAGCGCAAGAAACCTGCGCGCAGCGCGAAGCAAGATCACGCAAGACAAAAGGCAAGCGCTCCGTCTGATCTGTATCAGCCGCAAAACGCAACTCATGCCAAGTGAGAAGCCGAAACCAACAGGTAAAGGAGGTTGCCAGCGTCCATCAATCAGGTGCAGCGCTCGTTGCGAAAGAGGCGAAGGATTGCCGACGCCGGGTAGTCGAGTTGAACAGTCAGTCGAAGTAGCAGCCGACTTTTCAGCGCCGCCATGATGGTGTCGAAGTGCGGCAAGTAGCGGACGTCAAGCAGCCGCAAATGCATTCTCTGTAGACAGTGCTCAAAGGAAGAGTGGGGGCGTCCGTTCCACGTAGAAGCGAACGCCAAGCCTCAGGTATAGAAGCACGAATCCGTTCCCAGCGCGTGTCCAACACGGTGCAACACCAGAAGCCAGGAGAACAAGTAAGCGTCCAGAGCCACCAGCGTGCGTGCAATCCCATCCAACACGATCAAGCCAACGCGTGTCTGACTCAAGAAGGACAGGCAGTTGGACATCAAGGAACTGCGACGCACCCATGTTATGTCAAGATGCTAAGCCCGACAAGCGCATCTGATTTCCAGAAAGCAAAATCATATGTCTTTAACCCCACCAATGCCCTTGCCGCTGCGAGCACACAGAACATGCGTCGCCAAGGTTTGGTTTTTCGCAACAAATCTCAACCTGGAGACGAAGACGACTGCTTTGAGCTGCTCCGTCAACCGTCTTTTGATCCTTGTCCAGCTCGCAGAGCAAGTCTTGCGGAGCAAAGGTCAGCACACGCACAAAGTCTGGCACACTATCACGGAGCTGGCTGGGCGGTGACAAGATAGCAACAACCTTGTAACATGGGGCAAGTTGCCTGGTAGCCTCTCCAATAGTGAAGGGTCTTGGTTTTGTTTTCTTTAGTGAATAGAGTGCAATCAGTGCGCGTAGGTGGAGAATCTGGTCCCGCCACCGAACACATCAGAACACGTCAGGAACAAAAAAGACCTCGCGATTGGAAGACGTCATCGAGAAAGAAAATTGAGGGCCCTTCTGAATCTGCCTACAAGCTCTTCACTCACCTACCCCTCGCACGGTGAATGACCTGCCGCTGCACTGGTGTCAGTGCGGGCAACGGCAAGTAAGAGTTTCAAGTGGCAAACCAGGAAGGAATAGCATCGACCAGGTTAGCAAGCCCGACCGCGACTTGAAGCTCTCCCAACAACTTAGCCAGTCCCGGCAAGAAGACATAAGCTTTGGCGAGGACTCCATGACGCGCTGCAATCCGAAGAGCTCAGCGCAACAGAACCTTCTCGCAGAGTGGAAAGTGATACTGCGTCAACCTGCAGATGCTGCGCTCTTGGCGTCACAGCCAGCGCTGCAGCGTCGCTTTGCGCCAGTCTTGGAAAAGCGAGCTTGCAATACGCAGAAGCCTTCTTTGCCCGGATTGGGTCTTCCTCACAATTGAACCGCTTGCCCAACGATCGTCCAAGGTCTTGACAGAACAGTAGTTGCGATCGGACCTCAGCCAGAGAAGGACAGGAGAGTTAAGGTCAACATCAACATCTGGCTGCCGAAGCCTTATTGAAACTTGCGCCAATGACCAGACAAACAAATGCAAACGCAGAGCTGCTCACCATGAGTCGGATCATGAAGGAAATCTCTAGACCAGGAAGACGAGCCCGAATCAGAGCAACATGCTGCAGCAAAGAAACGGAAAAAAACGCGCGTCAAGGATTCTGTATCATATTTGAGCACCTCGAAGAAGTCCGGGATGTGGCCTTTATCCTGCACTGAGTCGTTGATAGGCAAATCGTGACAACCCAAGCGCGAGAAACCTGAAAAAGACATGACGTGGCTTGGGAGGCCCGCAACAGCACACTCAGGCACCTGAAGAAGCGACCGAATAAGCGACAGCGCAGCAATGACGTCCAATTGTGGTGGTCGTCAAACTGAATGTTCCTGACGATGTGGAGATGATGGGCCGGGCAGAGAAGCGCTGAGAAGGCAAACGTCCGAAGTCCACAGCGCCCGAACGCCTAACGCAAGGTATTGCAATCAACGCAACCATGCAGTGGAGTCAATCGGTCAGACGTTTCCAAGCTCCATGCAAGATCTCCTGTGGAATTTTTTCTTCCGCGACCATATCTCTTTGGAAGGATCTTTGCAGGATCTCTGGATACGATCTCTCGATCGGATCTATCTCTTGGCAAGATCTGTGAGCAGGATTTCCGAGCTTTCCACAGGCTCTCTTTCCTGGATCTGTAGAGAGCGTTCTGTAGACAATGTCTTGTCACGAAAAACATGGGCAGATGGCGAGTGACGTGCTGCGCTTCTGCATGCAGCGCTCGCTCCCACATCGCTATCTTCGAGCCAGCGCAATTTCCCGCCCAATTCACACCCGCAATCCCACCCCCACAGCGCATCCCCACATTCACACCCGGCCGTGATTTTTTTTGAGGGGTCTGTAACAGAGCCGCGGCGGACATTCGTTACAGACCTCGTTGCAGACCTCTGTAACAAGACCCGCTGGCTCGTTACACACCCCTTGTTACACACCTCAGATGAACAATCTGCTTGGCTGGCTGCACGCCCCTTCGTTACATACCCCAATGCGTGCACAGAGTCTCAGCGAATCCTACGGTGCCTGCAGAGCATGCTTTTGCGGAAGAGTTAACTGGACGAGAGCTTGCCGTGCAGATCAAAAGTTGGAACAGGGGCCTCGTTACGTAGCCGCTACATACCTTGTTACAGACCCAGCCCCAGCCCGGGCGGCCAGCGCCCTTTCTGCCGCAGCTTGGCTTGCGTTGAATTGCTGCAATCAAGCTGGAGCTGGGGAGGCGCGCTTGTGCGTGCTACGCTTTGCTTCGCCTCGTTACAGACCTCGTTACCTAGCCGTTACAGACGTCGTTACAGACCCCGCCGCAGCCCGGGCCAGCAACCCCCCCTTTTTGCCGCAGCTTGGCTTGCGTAGAATAGCTGCAAGCAGGCTGGAGCTGCGGAGGCGCTTTGCGTGCTGCGCTTTGCTTCGCCTCGTTACAGACGTTACATAGCTGTTGCATACCTCGTTACAGACCCAATCCCAGCCCGAGCCAGTGACGCCCCTTTTTGCCATCGCTTGGCTTTGTGTTGGCAGTTGCAAGTTTCAAGCTGGAAGCTGCGGAGGCCGTGCTTTGCGTAGTGCGCTTGTACTGAGGAGTTGCGACTTTCGAGCAGGAGCTGCTGTTCTTCGTTGTTCTGCGCTACATTGTGCTGATACTGGTACTTGTCAAGAAATGTTTCCCGTTACAGACCTGCGTAACAAGGACCTCCGTTACAGACCTCCGTAACAAGATTCGTGGCGCGTCGCGCGTTACAGACCCCAAAAAAAATCATAGCCACCTAACCACCCGGCCAGCCCAACAAAAGGCACCCAGTCTGTGACGCTACAGGTGTTTCTTCTGAAGCAGAAGACATACAGTTCCCTTGTGCGGTATTGAAGCATTTGAGCAGGGGAATTGCAAGCTATGATTCAGGCACAGCCAAGGCCTTGGATCGAACCACATTTGACTTGGTTGTTGTTAAATCAGGGGTGAGGTCGTCAATAGGTTTTGCAAGTTGCGTGGTCATAAGCTTACCGACCACGCGGGAGCGGTACGTTTGCTCCGCTCTGCATGCGGCTCACAGCTCAAGAAAGACAGGTGAGAATTGCCCCACTCTTCACGCAAATGTGAGATGCCGAACAAGGGGCAAGGAGGTGTCCCTTCCAACTAACCAAGCAACCAAGCACCCAAACAAGGAACCGTTCAAAAAAGGTTTGAAAGCTGTTTGGCCTTTGGTCTTTACCGTGCGGGACCTCTGTACAGTGACCTGACTATGGTACGTCCCCATTTGAGATTGGGCCTCCCCAAAATCGTGGTTTCCATTGGTTTTTTCATTAAACAAATACAAGCCCGTGTGCAGCAGTGAGCTCCACCAGACGGCAATTTCACGCCTATGGCGGCTGCCAAAGCAGCGGTTGCAAGTGTTCCGCTTGGTCCCTAGCATCTGTATGTGCAGTGCTGAGCGTAAGATGGTTTCCACTTCCCCTAAGTGGGATATGCAACCACTCTCTCTCGCTCTCTCTCTCTCTCTCTCTATATTTTTCCAGGTGTAGTGGAAACCATTTTCGACTGAACTGTGACTTTCACAGTGCAATTGATCCCCACGAACAGTGATACATGCAGACAATCAGGGCTTCGCGTTTCCTGATGTAAGAAAGGCAAGGATGTCCGACGTTTGACAGTGACGAACAAAACACGGATTTCAATTGGTGGAAGAGGGGTCATGTCATTCTGAATTTAAGGGGACCCCAAACGGCTTCTAGCAACAGGTTCCAGCTGGCACCAAAGGAGAATTACGTATAGCATCTTTGAGCCCATTTGTCATTGGTCAGGATAGTCTTCCGGCAAATGAAACGGGTGCCAAGGGGTCAGTCTCGGCATTTTTGTTCCTGGAAGCTGCGGTGTCAGGTGTGAGGTGCATAAGGATGCGGTGGTGTGCCAAGAGGCCAAGGCCGGGATTTTTGGGGTCGCCTCTTGGTAGGTTTGGGGGGTCCGAGGTTTTTAGGCCCAAACTGAAAGAGGCCAAAGCCTTTGAGCGTAGGGGATGTGAGGGCATCTGTGGTTCAATTGTAGGCATGGAATCTCTTGGGCCTGTTTTGGTAAGACATCCTCAAATGGTTCCAAGCAAAACAATCCCCAAAAGAAGCTCTAAAACATTCTCAAATGGTTCCAAGCAAAACAACCCCCAAAAGAAACTCTGAGAACCTTTCATAAAGTACACTCGAAGGGACTTGGCTAGCCTCCCGCGTAGGTGCAAGGAACCCACGGAATCAAGGTGGGCGAGGGAACTGCGACTTGGCGAGCGAAGCATTTTTTCATATGCGGGCAGAGCATCCATCGCTGGATGGGAAATTCTGTCAACATGTTCAGCAGTCTATGGTTTTTGTGGGAGGGACCTCAGCCATGTCCGACAACCAGTGAACACTCACTCATTTTCCCAGTCCTTTCTGGGCTTCTCTTTGCTGCCGGAATTTGAGCGGAAGTCAAGCCAAGGTGATCCATCCCGCTTGCAGCCTCCATGCGAAGGCGTGCTTGTTGGGAGTTGGTCATTGGGGTGTGGTTTAACAGGGAACCCACAGCCTTTGTGTGTCGAATCTCTATTTTGTGTATTCCCCATAAATGGCAAGAAGCGAGGGAAAAATCGGCCTCTGATCTCATGGCCTTGCAGAGATCGTCTTGTTCATGGGGAGAGAATCACGCGACGTCAGTTGCGCGGAGTTTGCAACGTCGATGAAGGTTCCTTGCAGAAGGTTTCTGCTTTTGCGCATCGTGATAATTTACCCATTTCTGTGAGGTTCTGTGGAAGCCGAGAATTTCTCCATTCTGTGGCCTGTGTCGATAGTGCCTGATCCACTGTCGCTAGACTGCCTAGCAGCTATGCGCCAAAATGGTGGTTTGCTTTTTGACGTTCTTTAAACTAGCCTTTAGCAAAGTTCCCTAAAAGTACGCACACGCACAAATTGCGCCGAAGAAAGAACATATGTATATATCT